AAGCTGGTAAAGGTGGAGCTCATTTAAATAATTTCACATACTGCGACTGGATATCTTTACCTATCATTTTTTTGTCAATGTTAAATCATTTGTAGTATAAAATAATAACATGGAGTAACTAAAGCTTTCAGATAATACCATGGCAGACTGGGTCAACAATAACAAACTGGTACTCAACATTGCAAAAACAAAAGCAATGGTGTTCGGATCCAGACATATGTTAAGCAGCAATTCTCAATAAGCCTGACACTGGCTGGTCAGCCAGTGGAACAGGTCAACAAGACTAAGTTGCTTGGCATTGTTCTTGATTCTGGTTTACGGTGGACAAAGCAAATTGACAGTATCGTAACTAAAATGGGAAGGAGCATAGCTGTGGCGAGAAAATGTACAAAGTATGTAACACCAACCACTTTGAAACAAGTCATTCAGTCTCTGGTTTTGTCACATCTTGAGTACTGTCCGGTCATATGGTCATCAGCAGCAAAAACACATTTACAGAAATTACAAATAGCTCAAAACAAGGCTGCCAGACTCGCTCTCCACTGTTCGACGCGCACTCATATTGGAGTTATGCATACAAACCTATCATGGCTTCCAGTTGAGAAACGTCTGCAATCTCGTGTTATCACTTTTCTAAAAAATGTCCAATTTAGCAAAAAAACACTGTATTTTTATGATCAAATAGTTTACACAAGAGACGAGCATGACCATAAGACTAGACAAGCTACATCAGGCCATCTACTGGCACCTAAACCCAGGACACATCTTCTGAACTCTTCTGTGTCTTATAGAGCTATAAAGGAATGCAACTCATTGCCAAACTACCTTACTGAAATAGAGTCCAGAGCCTCTTTCAAGAAGAGATTGAAGGGCCATCTACTAATGACCATGTACCCTTGTGAGCTGTGAACCCTAATTGTATTTGATCGCATGTTGTTGATGATATTGGTGTTGTTTGTAATGCTGTTAATGATGTCAGGACTTATGTCCTAAATGTTGCTGTATTATTGTTGTATTATTGTTGTATTATTGTTGTATTGTTTTAAGTGTCGGACCCCAGGAAGAGTAGCTTTTGTCGAGAGCAAAAGCTAATGAGGATCCTTAATAAACATAAACATACTGGTAAAGGCTGGCTTCCAAGATGTGGTGACGTCGAAGCATAAAGGAGAATCAAATGAAAATACTCTGTTATTCAACATTGTATAATACATGAGTACATATACTCTGTGCCTGTCACGTTGACAACAATCGTCTCTCTGTTGATCTCCTCCAGCCACAGCTGCTATTCTCTCTCTCTCTCTCTCTCTCTCTCTCTCTCTCTCTCTCTCTCTCTCTCTCTCTCTCTCTCTCTCTCTCTTTCATCCTTTCCCTCTTCTTCAATGTAAACACAATCTGCCACGCTGTCACGACGCCAGTTAACACACATGGAGATAGACCTGTAAGTGAGCAGGAACATGTGGAGGAGTGATTGCTCTCTGCGTGGCGACACAGTAAAGCGCTCGGTCACATATCGAGACTCGTGCTGTAACACCTCCTTCTTATGTAACATGTGAGGAAACTGTAATGAGGAGGTGTTGGCCTGCAGGGAGATCGTTGGGGGGGGGGGGAGAAGGTCAAAGAACTCGAGAGGAAGTAACGTTTCTCCTGCTGTGATGATGAACATGTTTAAAGAGCTTTGAATATACTGCGCAGACACAAGTCCGCCATTTCTTTCCTGCATCTCCAAGGAACGCAGTGCACTTGTGGGAGTGCATAAATAACTATAATTTTTGCCGGTTATTTTAAATAACCAGCTTTATCTTGTAAGTCAATAGAAAAAAAAATTGAAAAGCAACCCAGTCTCCCTAAGAGTCATGATTATACAATTCTGATATATTTTCCAATTATGTTCCACATGTAAAAAAACACTTTGGTGAAAAGGTCAAGGAAAAGATTGTGGATTTGCTTAAATAATAATAATAATAATAATAATAATAATAATAATAAATAACACCTCCTTTCAATTTTTAAGAATGAAATACAAATCTTTCCCTCACCTTAAGTGGATACAAATGTAAACGTTTATATTTCTTTTGTTGCTACAGGCAGAATATTAAAGTAGAAATCAATCACTCAGGGCAAACATTTGATTTGGCAATAAAAAGCGTTTTTAATTATGTTGAATTAAATGCCAACTAAGGTGGAATTGGATCATTTTAAAACAGCATAAATAGTTCTGCAGAATAATTAAATATAAACTTAATTTCTAGCAAACATGTCTTACATTAATTTACTTATGTTTATAAGTAAGTAGCAAAAGAACTGGGTTTTCAGGCGGCTTTACGAGGGATACAAGGTTTGAATTAGTAGTACAGTATGAAAGGACTATTTATTTTTATACAGGTACAATTTTAATTGTAATAGTTCAGCTCATTCAGCGCTCTTTTATAAATGTATCTGTACTGGTTTGCTTCGGATATTTTAATTATTTATTGAATCTTAGTGGACTGGACTGTATAGCGGTGCAAAAGGAGCATCGAGGTTAAAGCTGGGGGTTTTTCTAAGTGACCATTGCACAGCATTATAAATCAGCACTTATTGAGAACATTGGTTTATTATTATTATGTTCTGTACTATGGTCTGTCCCACTGTGGGAGGGTGTTTGACCCCGAGTCACTACAAGCTGCTCCTGATTCACCAAGACACTGCGAGGCCATCTGTGTTGAGACTGCAGATCTGTGTGTGTGTGTGTGTGTGTGTGTGTGTGTGTGTGTGTGTGTGTGTGTGTGTGTGTGTGTGTGTGTGTGTGTGTGTGTGTGTGTGTGTGTGTGTGTGTGTGTGTGTGTGTGTGTGTGTGTGTGTGTGTGTGTGTGTGTGTGTGTGTGTGTGTGTGTGTGTGGTGTGTGTGTGTGTGTGTGTGTGTGTGTGTGTGTGTGTGTGTGTGTGTGTGTGTGTGTGTGTGTGTGTGTGTGTGAAGTGTAGTGAACAATAAAAGAGAAATATATAAAAAACAAAGATTGAGGTCATCCAAAGAGATCAAATAGCTCCTAACTACATATTTGTATTTATATACATATTTCCAATATTAATTGTATTTTAACTATAAATCTAATAATAATAAAGAAAAATCTGAACATATAAACATGAACATATATATGTTCAGATTTGTAAAATGTTTCAAACTTATTTTTATTTTTTATATTTAAATTATTTTAAATGTTTTATTTTTTATATATTTTAGGTTTACTTCAAATATAATCTTTATAGCATAGCAATGTACATACATTTAAATGTGGGTGCAGTTTAAATGATTTGCATTTCAGTTTTTTATGATTATTGTATTTGAATGTCTATTTCATGTTTATTCAATTTAACCATTAACAAAGTGTACTTTCACGCATTACAAACGCAATCATCCAATATTCATATGAAACGTGCATGTGACCCTGAATGCATCATGGATTCCCCAAAGCTGTATCTCCTATAAGATCATTCCTTCACTCGTGCAGACTTCTAGCTGCTCTCTTCATAGACTGTATTCTTGGTGAATAGATGGTTTTAATATCATGTAATGAAAGCTCAGGTGGAGAGATTCTCATGTTCTGCTAGTGCACCTCCCACAATGCTCTGAACCTTTTACCCCAAACATCTTGTGTTTGCTCCCCTGGTAGGAAGAATATGTCCATCTTGAAATGTATCTGGACAATATATGCTTTTTATTAAAGTCATATTTTCACAAGTCAGTGCTGCTTCGCTCTGAAACGACAGACCATTGGAGTTAATTCTGTTCAGAGAAAAAGTTTCCAAACTGTATTTATTTAAATATTTAGCAGCTTTAAAACACCATCTCTATCCAAATCTGACAAAACCTGCTAAAATATCTCAAAAATGTCCCTTTGAGAAGATATAAATACCAAAAACGGTCTCATCATGCTTCCCAAATGTCACCTTGTTACTTCCTTCTCAAAGTCACTGTTTCCCTTCTCCTCTGTTACATCACCATCACTCTCCTCACAATGTTGCGCTGTCCTCTCCTCCTCCTGAGCTCCATCACCTCCGTCTCTGCCTCTCTGCAGACACTTCCTGCATGATGATTCAACTGCCACTTTAACGGGAAAACACCCTGGTATGAAAAACGTATTTTCCTCCGTGAAGCCTCAATGAACAACTTCTTCTCACAATGAACGCGCTCATAAAAGTCCTCATTCAATGCAAGACGATGTCCCTTTGGAGGGTGGGATCAACACATTCTACATCTTGTGAGAGTGGAATTTCATAAGCAACGAAAGCTCACTAAGTGAAAAATACCCAGAATGCACTGCAAGTTATTGGAAAATGAAGCATGAATCTCACTTGTTCTTAACCACAAAAAAGGATCTTCTCTGTCTTTGCTATTTTTGTATCTTCTAGCTGGGTGCTAAATGTTTACAGCTGTTTTAAGGAGCCTGTTGAAAGGGATTCTGGGGAATGTAGTGCAAGCGTCACCACATGCCATACTGTATATTGCTTTCAGGCTTCTCAAATGCTGTCAATTAGCATGTTAGCGGCACTTTAAGTCACTCGGTAACTCTTTTAAGAATTGTTGGCTTTCAACGCCAGATATATGAGTAAATATAGCCAGATGGGCTGGAACTGTCCATGGGGCTGGAACTGTCCATGGGGCTGGAACTGTCCCTTTTCAATGTGAATGTAGCCTGGTTGAGGTGCTGAACATTGAAATGAATTTAGACACTACTGGTGAATTGTGCAACTAATATATCTCAACATAAACTTCCCCAGCAGATTACTACCATTAGGATGATTAGCAGTAGTATCTTAAATGTTACGTTTAAATATGCAAACTAGGCATTTACTTATTAAATATCCTCAGATTTTTGGAGACCAATCTGAATACTTGGGCGTTTTTTGCAATTTTACGACTAAATGTGTAAATGAGGCATTATTAAATGTTACATTTTGGGTGTATCTCCTCCTCACTGGGTGCCCTTTTCTAGTTTTTCTCGTGATATCCGAGGACTCACCGCTGATCCACGTGGCCTCGGGGTTGTGGACGCTGAACTCTGGTTTGTACAGATCCGCCGCAGTCAGCCTGGACTTGTTGTTTCCGGGGAGCTCAGCTAAGAGAAAACAGCGTAAAGTCAGATCCGGTCTATTTCTTACAGCTTTATGACAAACAAGGGAGTGAATAGCAGTAGATTAGCGAGCATACCGGGCGTGAGGACGACCACGGACATGGTGATGAGCGAGCACACGGCCACGATCACCAGCAGAGAGATGGCGATGCCCTTCCAGTTCCTCTCCTGAGGGCTGACATCCACAAACTCCTACACACACACACACACACACACACACACACACACACACACACACACACACACACACACACACACACACACACACACACACACACACACACACACACACACACACACACACACACACACACACACACACACACACACACACACACACACACACACACACACACAAGAAGAATAACTCAGCATTGTTGCTCTGTGAGTCAGCTGTTTGAAAAAAAAAAAAACACTTGTTCCTTTGTGGTTGATGTACTTTTAAGCAAACGTTTAGCATGCAAAGGATGTTAAACATGGCATTAAATCCCTCAAAACTCACCGGGCCGCCACAATTAAATATCGTCCACCACAAATGGATCTCATAAAAAAAAAAAAATCATTATTATTATCCTTTTTTTTTTTATTCTTTTTTTTTTTTGGTGGTCTAATGGATAGAAGGGTGGGCTGATGATCAGAAGGTTGCGAGTTCAAATCCTGCCTGGAACACCACTACTAGTGTGCCCTTGAGTAAGGCACTTAGCCCTCGGTTACTCCAGGGAGAATGTCCCTGTAATAGGTCATTGCAAGTTGCTTTGGAATAAAGGCGTCTGCTAAATGCCTAAATTGTAAATTATATTTTTGGGAGAATAAACCCCACAGATCCTCAACTCCGGTGTGTCTCACTCATTAACAACACAACACAGAGCAACAGCAACGTTGTCTACAGTAGCCATGAACTCACATGTATTTACTTATTTGAGGGGGGGGGGTGGAGGCGTAGGTTAAGGGGCCTTTGGCTTTTCTTGTACGGGGGGGGGTGCAGTGCGGTGCCCCCACAAATAGAATCAAATTCTGTGGGAAACACTGAGCTCTATATAGATAACATTTATGACACGATTATTTAAGGTCAATTTGGACTCAGAAGCAATGACATTTTAGAAAACTCGTATATTCCTACTAAGGGATTAACACCATTTTAAGCTGAAGAGATATTTGCTTGTGTAATTCATTTTTACAATCAATATATATTGACGCATAACTGAAATCCTGTTATACTTCTTCACAGACGGCTCTTTTTGGGTCGCTGGGCATTTTTAAAGATTCTGATAATATGTGAAGAAAAATAACAAATAAGAAAACAGTAAAAAAACATTGTTTTCTATTATCTGAAAAACTGAAATGTTTCGAGGCGATATTTCATGTTTTTATGGTAGATAGAAGGAACACTTGTTAGCAGCCGTCTCCAGGAGCCGCTGCCACATGAATTGATTTTGCAGTCCGGCTCTTATATTGAACCGTGAAAGGAGAAAGTATTTCCACTCATCCTGTCAATACAGAGCGATGATTACCCACCAAAAACACCGTCAGAGTATAAAGCTTTTTGAAAGAAGTCATGACCCTGACTTTTTTTTGTTCATACAGCCTTAGCTGAGCGCTAAGACGTCAACATCTGTAACCTTTTTTTAAACCTGATGACATTTCTGACCCGGGCTACATCATTTCTCCGGACTTTCCACTCTTTAGTCTCAGGATGATGAAACTACCTGCAGATTATTCCAAAAAGTGAAAATGACGCAAGAGAGGGGATTTTGGTTCAACCCCAGGATTTTGCGAGAAACCGAGCGTGGTCGAGGTTTCCAGCAGCGAAACTGCGGGGAATTGAAGTAGGTAGCTGTCACATGGAGTTAAATTCACCATTCTTCAGCGCTTGAGAATAACACAGAGTGATGCATCAAAGGAGACAGTGTGAAGCCTCTCACACACACACACACACACACACTGTCAGATTCACAAGAACCACTCGTTCCCTCTGTTACACTTCCACAGAGAGGTGAGCCAGAAACACATGTTGCAGGATTTGTCATAGTAGAAAAATGCACAAAGAGACGGATATTTCCTGACTTTTTGCTTTGATTGGAAGCCATTTCCAAACAAACAAAACCTAGGAAACCTTGATTTTGTCACTGGATTTCAAATAGTGTGGTTTGTCTGTTTCTCATCAGCATTACAGAAAAGCTACTGCCATGATATTCAGGAAATTGGTGAGATTGTTGTAGCATTTCAATTGGGGAGTGGATGGGTACACACATCATGGTTTAAGTATAGAAGCAGCTTTAGTTATGTTGTCTCTTGTATTGCTTTTGTATCAGTGAGCCATGTGTAAGATAAGACATGCCCTATAGTGTAATTATGACATATAGGAGGAAGAAAGGTGTAGTAATATTAAAAACAATCAAATCCATCTGATTAAGGAAGAAGAATACATTTAAGATTATCACTCAAAATGAGTCCTTTTTTAAAACGTCAAAGTCGACTTTTTTTTTTTTAAACGTCCGTAACTTTTATACATTCTTACCTAACCAAATCTTGTACCATTTCACCCACTCTAAACCCAAAGCACGACATTTTTCTAAGCCTAACCAAGAGGTTTTGTTGCTATTAAATAACCAATTTCTCTTTAACCACATGACATTATTATATATTGTATTTCATTTTGGGAGTTATTGGTATGTTCTTTTGTTCATGTATGCCGGCGGAGGTCTGTGTTCTTCTGGTGCCCTTTCTATTGGCATTTAGTGTTTAATCTGTTCAATCTAAATATAGTGCTATACAGTATTCTGTGTTCTGTCTTCGAAACAGCCTGAATCTTTTTGGTTCCAAAGATACTGAAAATGTAGATTATTACTCTACATTAAGTTCACCATCCTTCTTCCACTACTGATTTCAGTGTCATTATAATAATTGAGATAAGAGCTTCAGATGCTTCCAGAAGAAGGAGGATAAGGAGGAATCTGTTTTAAATAATTGAAGTAGGAAGGGGTTGTGCAAAGAAAGCCCTAACCTGTGTGTGTGTGTGTGTGTGTGTGTGTGTGTGTGTGTGTGTGTGTGTGTGTGTGTGTGTGTGTGTGTGTGTGTGTGTGTGTGTGTGTGTGTGTGGTGTGTGTGTGTGTGTGTGTGTGTGTGTGTGTGTGTGTGTGTGTGTGTGTGTGTGTGTGTGTGTGTGTGTGTGTGTGTGTGTGTGTGATAAGCTACATAAATATGGCTGTCAATGGTCCATGTCAACACAAAAGATGAAGGACGTTCTATTGTACAGCATAAACATCTCCAAACCTGTTTATACCGATGTAACCTACCTCGGTTTAAAAACACTCAGTCTCAACCGTTTGACTGAATATCATGTCTTATAAAAGAGTATTAGACTTGAACATTAAAAACAAAAAAAGGCTCTCTTGAAACTGAGAAAAATATGTACTTAAATACAGAAAAAACAGTAAAGAAGGAGGTAAAAAATAACATTGTCCATTTGCTTAATCAGGAAAAATGGAGAGTTCTAATATTTCTCGGTTGGATTAAACTATGCAACACTGTTGATAAATGTATACTAAACTATTCCATCACTGACAACATAAACAACAACAGCTGATTCCTGAAGGAAGAAACAGCAACTATAGCAAGTAGAAACTACTGAGCTAACTCCTGTTACTCAAGTTATGAAACTCACTCCATTTACAACACATTTACCATGCAGTGTTGGAAAACGCTCCAAATAGTAGTCTCTGTGTAAACTGCGTGCATGGAGCCAGAATTCATCTATAATTAATATGAAAACGCACAAAGCTAGAAAAATGATTTTACTCCACCATTATGTGTATTTGTAATAATCTCCCTATAATGATCACATTATAAGCGATCACCAGCAGCAGCGAAACGCATCTAGTTTCCCCCCAACATGTATCTCCTCACAGCTGAGTAAATAACAATACACGCATTTCGCGGTGTGTGTCGGGATACCTCATCCTGCGACTCCTTCGCCTTCTTCTTGCTTGGGTCTTCTTTAGAAGCAGTCATTGTACCGGAGCCCCGGAGCTTCTCCTCCCGGTAATAACATCCAAACCTGTCCGCGCGTCAATTTAGCAGCACGAGCATGAAGCTGCAATCAGTGCAGCAGGGACTTCACTTCCGGTGCTGACTTTCAAAATAGTCCCATTGTTTTTTTTTGTAAAACAACCTCTTAGTTATTTCTTTAGATGGGAGAAATACTCAGATCTTATATTTGAGTTAAAGTAGAAGTACCAGAGTGTAGGAATACTCTGTTACAGTAAAAGTCCTGCATTCAAAACGTTCCTCAAGTAAAAGTAGAAAAGTATTATCATCTAAATATAGTTAATGTACCAAAAGTAGAAGTAGTCATTGTGCAGATTGGTGCATTTCAGAATAATATATATGATCTGATTATATATTCAGATTATATATTATATTTTCGAAATATGCTTTTATTTTTGTAATCAATGCAAACATCTTGTGTCACTTCATATTTGTCTGTCTACAATGTTTTTAAGCTATAAAAAAACATATACGGAGCTACCTGATTTTCATAAAATGTCATTTGTTATTAAACAAGAAAAGTAATACTTATCCGGTGTCACTTTGTATATTTCAGGATAATTTCAAAAGGTTTACATCGATATAATGCACTACACATTTGACTTCTTATCAGACACCAAACAATCGATTTTTACAAGTCTACAATACTTTGTTGATTACATGTTATTTGTTAGACGCTTTTATCCAAAGCGACTTACATACTCAATACTGTGGACAATCCCCACAGGAGCAATTTGGGGTGAAGTGTCTTTCATGATATTGATGCTTGAAGTTTTACGGATGTAATATGAACACCTACACACAACCCACTGCGCCACACGCCTGATTCCTACAACATTTTTTAATTGACATTTAAAAAACGACAGGCTTTTATTTTGAAAACCAATGTAAACATCCGGTGTTACTGCACACATTTCTAGCTAACTCCAGAAAGTCTATTTTTTCTTCTCTCTACAAATAGAATCATGATTAATGCAGTATCGGCTGTGTCGCTGTCCATGGTGCTGAAACGGTCCTTGTCTCTTTGAATGTAGCCTGCAGGTGCTGAGCACTGAAATGAATGTAGACACTGCAGGAGAATTGGGGAACATGTGCAACTGATATATCTCAGCATACAACTTCCCCAGCAGATTACTTGCATTCGG